GCATCGGGCACAGGGGGGATCCATGGGCTGGGAGGGCTTTTCCAGAAGGCAACAAAAATAAAGATGAGAGAGAATTATGCTGAGCTTTTCTGGTGGCATTTGCAGTTACAGACTCTCATACTTGGGCTAGAACGGAATTTCTAGGGGTTTTGTTTTCCCTAAATCCTCTGGAACACCTGGGTGGGAGCTGACAGGCCACAGCACATCTTGGAGGCTCCTTCTTAGTCCAGATTAAGTTCTCTAGACAAGGATGCAAAGGATCCTTCTGGCTGGGAGGTGTTCATGTGCAACACATTTTAACAATTGTCCAGTCAGCCTAGAAGGAGAAATTTTTCTTTGAGGCAGAATTTCTCCTGGAAAGGGTGGTGAGGCCTTGGCAGGGGCTGCCCAGGGAGGTCTGGAGTGCCCATCCCTGGAGGTGTCCCAGGAAGGCCTGGCCGTGGCACTCAGTGGCAAGGCGGGCATCGGGCACAGGGGGGACTCTGCGACCTCGGAGGGCTTTTCCAGCCTAAACAATCCCGGGATTCTGCCAAGGACACCCCCGTCCCTCGGGCTGTCCCCGACCCCCCGGGTACCTCGGCGTCGTACTCCCAGAGCTGGTTGCCCCTCATGTGGTGGCACTTGAGCATGAGGACGGGCCCGTTGAGCCGCGACACGTCCAGGCACAGGTCGTCCGTGCGGATCTCCTTGTCGGCAGTGTAGGAAAACACCTGGAACACACGGGTGGAGCCACAGAGGGTCACAGAACTCCAGACTGCTCCTGGGGGGCTGCTCCTGGAACCCTGGAATGTCCAAGGCCAGGCTGGGTGGGACTTGGAGCAACCTGGGATAGTGGGAGGTGTCAGGGTTGGAATGGGATGAGCTTTAAGGTCACTTCCGACCCAACCATTCTGGGATTCTCTGATTCCACGGATGACTGACCATTAAGGAAGCTGGGTTTGGAAAAGTCACCACGTTAAGAAGAAAAGCGAATGCTAATTAAGCTGATGTAAAACTCCCACCAATACTAATTACAGAGACAATGATATTAATGTCACCTAAAAATAGAAGGTGAGGACAGAATGCATTTTATAGCTAATTAAAGAATGCATTTCACACATCCCAATGTGACAGGTAAAACATTCCTCCAGGGATGGGGGTTCCAGCCCCTGCCAGGGCTGCACAACCTTCACATTTTGGAAAATTCCTATAAAACCTGTTCTGCTGTTGCCTCAATCTCCAACCACCAGTGCCAGGAATTCCCTTGGCCTGGTGCTCAGCACCAAGGAGGGAAACTGGGAGAGATCCACTGCAACCCACAGAAACACTCCAGACATCAGAGAGAACTCAAGAGCTGGAATTACATGAAATGGCCAATATGACAAAATAAAATAGAATAAGACAAAATAAAAGGCTCAAAGAAATGGCTGAGTCGTCCTAAAATTCTTCTGACACAAATGCAAAATATTTTGGAATGCTCATTGATTCTTTTATATTATTTGCATATAAAATAGAATTTCAAATAGATATTTTAAATTTAAAAATGTGCCCATAAAATATAGTATTTTATATAAAACATAATGTTTTCTATAAAATAGTATGTTTTAATATAAAAATTATACAGCTATTTTTCGCTAATATTTTTTTATAATGAACCAAGGACTAGTGAGGGTGCCCAGGACAAGCCCCCAGCCCTACCTGGGTGACATTTCAGCTCTCACAGCACTCTGAACCAATTATTTCACAAAAACCACACCTTTCCTCTTTTTTTTCCTGCTTTACCTGATTTCCTCCCATTCCATGGCAGTTGAAAAATCCCACTTTCTCGTTTTCCTTGCGGCCCATGTTGTCCAAACACTGGTTGGTTTCAACGTTCCTGATCTGGAGGAAGAAAAGAGGTGAAATATCCCTTGAAAGGAATGTCTGTAAATCTGCCACATTTCTGCAGAAAAAAAATCGTGTTTCTGTCAGCAGAAAGTACATTTTCTGTGCATTCAAATATAGGTATTGATTTATTTTAATGTATTTATTTGTTGAAAATTGTAAATATATCACCCTCCCAAAAGAAGGTGACAATAAATACAATAATTACAAGGAGTATAATGAGATTTTAAACTATATATTCAGTGTAAGTGTGAAAAGCATCTGAGGGAAATCTCATTCAATCCTCCTTATATTTAGATTGCCCTGTACTCCACAGTGAGTTTGGAGCATCATTTTTCCTTGGATTTGAGCTGAGGAGGAGCCTGGTCACCCCCCTGCTGCCCTGCCAGGTGGGATGGTTCAAATCCTGCCTAAATCTCCACTGAAAAGGAAAAAAAAATGACTGAAAAAATGCACTTCTGAGGGCTTAAAAATTGCCCATTCCTGCTGCTTTGGGGCTCAAAATCCCCTTTCCTGCTCCACCGGCAGCAGCTGGAACAGCCAAGCAGGAATTTGAATTCCCAGCCCCTGAACTGCTGTTGCCATAGAAACTGAGGCCACCTTGGCAAAAATCAGGTGTTTTAATAACTGTTTTCTGACTTTCTCATAGCTCTGTTTTGCAGCCTGACAATGTGGCACAAACCCACGTTATTTGACACTTGTTAGACGAGTTCTTTCCTTGCTGTAAACCCACTCTTCACTTTATTTTGTCATAATTTAACTGGGAACCCAACAGTACCTTTTATTTCTCACTACAATGGCAAGTTTCAATGGGAAATTACTTTCCTGGGCGTTAAAAAAAAAAAGCCATTTTTTTTTTCATTTGATTGTTATTCTATCCTTAAATCAACCCATTCAAGAGCTTTGAAAAGTCAGCATAGGTACAACTCAATAGAGTATTTTTAACAGTTGAATTTTAAAGAGATTTCAGCTCCTGGTGATACAAAACCATGGCATTATTAGGAATGTCTGTGATCCTCAGCTCCAGGCAGCCTGGCTGGAGAACACTCAGTGAACAAACATGTTTCTTTTTTTAAAAAAGCCCCAAAAAAAGCATTTTTTTTTAGCCTGTTTTTGAACGATAAGGGATGATGGAAAGTCCCCTTCAACTGCTGCGTATTCATTATGTCAAAATATTAGTCCCAAACCTCACTTTTCCCATCCACTGCTCCATTTCAAAGATAAATCTGGACGGTGAGCATTTGGAATGTACACTCAGCTCACAGATGAATTTTTAACGGTGCAATTTAGCAACTCCCCCTTAAAAGAGGCTTGGAGAAAGTACCCCCTGCCCAGAATAATCAAGATAAATATCCAGGAGTGACCAGCAGCACTTCAGCCCTTCTCCAAAGCCTCCTCACTCCTCGGGGATGGCTCTGTTTGCTCAGGGCACTCACTGGGTTGTCAAACTGGACTTACTGGTTTGTTGGACTTACTGGTTTCCTGCACCTCCTCATTTGCTGCATTTACTGGTTTATTGCACTTACTGGTTTCTGTGCTACTGGTTTGCTGCATTTACTGGTTTCCTTTACTCAGTGGTTTCCTGTACTACTGGTTTCCCTTATTTAGTGGTTTCCTTTGCTTACTGGTTTCCTGCACTCCTGGCTCCCTGCATTCCTTGTTTCGTGCACTCACCTGTTCTCTGCATCCCTTGTTTCCTGCACTCCTGGTTCACTGCATTCCATGTTTCCTGCACTCCTAGGTCCCTGCATTCCTTGTTTCCTGCGCTCCTGGCTCCCTGCATCCCTGGTGTCCTGCACTCCTAGTTCCCTGCATTCCTTGTTTCCTGCACTCCTGGTTCACTGCATTCCACGTTTCCTGCACTTCTGGTTCACTGCATTCCAGGTTTCCTGCACTCCTAGGTTCCTGCATCCCTGGTTTCCTGCACTCCTGGCTCCCTGCATTCCTTGTTTCCTGCACTCCTGGCTCCCTGCATTCCTTGTTTCCTGCACTCCTGGCTCCCTGCATTCCTTGTTTCCTGCACTCCTGGTTCCCTGAGCTCACTGGTTTCCCGCACTCCTGGCTCCCTGCACCCCTGGTTCCCTGCATTCCCAGTTTCCCGTATCCCCGTGCCCATCCCGTACCTCTCCCAGGGAGTAGTAGCGCCGCGGGATCTGGGAGTCGGGGTAGATGTTCTCCAGGTACCAGGAGAAGGGTTTGCACTTGAGGCTTTCCCTCAGGGCCTTCCTGACGGACACATCTCCATAATCCACCTTCACCACACCTGGAATGGGAAGAGAAGAGCTGAGCAAAATCCCCTTTGGACCATCCCAGAGCCACCTCCAGCCGGCACCAGCTCCCAGTTATCCGTGTCCACGTGCTGGGATTGGGGTGCAGTGGGATGGGAGGGTTGTCAGCCTCACTGAGGATTATATCAAATTAAATCATTATATAAAATTAAATCATCCCACAATCATGGAATGGTTGGGGTTGGGAGCAACCTCAAAGCTCATCTTGTTCCATCCCCCTGCCATGGGCAGGGACACCTTCCCCTAGCCCAGGTTGCTCCAAGCCCCATCCAACCTGGCCTCAGACACTTCCAAGTGAACCAAAAGCAAGTCAAAAATTCCCTGTAGCCCAGTTAAATCTCATTTTGGACGAGAGCTGTGGTCCAACCAGGGCTGGCAAAGCAGCAGCAACTCCCAGCCCTCATCTGGAACAGTTTGGGCAACACTCCCGGATTTATCTCTGAAATCCATCCTGCATTTCCTTCACCTTCTACTTCCCATTATTTATGGGATCTTACTTTGAAACTGTCACACAAGTGAAGCTCCAAGGGTAGCAGAATATTCTGTCAGGAAATCACACCTTAAAGGTGATGGCAAGTTTTAGAGAAATTCAGTACAAACCCCAGTAAAACTGTCCATTACTACCCAAAACACTTCTTTTGGATCCCTCCTCATGCCCACATTTCAGATATTTGCTGGTTACATCTCTGACAAACCAGGTTTATGTATCGCTGTGTAATTGTAGGAGATGATGTAATTCTGGATAATTAACTGAAATACAGCTGCCAGTTCTTGCTCCAGGCTAAATCCAAGTGCTCCTGGAAGCACTTTATCCTGATGACAATGGCCAGGAGCGACTGATGCTCCACCAGCAAAAACTCCTCAGGAGCCCCACGTTCTTGCCTGGTGCCAGGGAATTTAAGTGGCACCTGCTCAGGCTCTGGGGAAGCATGAAATGATAAACTCCAGCGAGTGGAAATATTCCAATAAAACACTCAGGCATAACTCAGAGAGGGAAATTAAATCACTTAAGGACTTCTGGGGTGGTGGAGGAGCGAAGGGAAATCAAATCCAGGTGAAATCCAGGTGCTGTCCTCTAGCAGAGCTGCTGGAGATGCTGAACAGGAGTGGAATCTGCAGCTCCCAGGGCATCTTCTGAGCAGGACATTCAGGAAGGGTGTGGGGAGGTTTTATCCAAGTCTCAAAGGATTCCAGGGTTTTCATACTTTTCCCCCCAAAGAAACAGAGGTAATTTATCAGCTGCTCTGCAAGCAAGGGGATTGATCTCAGAGTTCCACTGGACTGTTCAGGGGAAAAAAGCATCTAAAGGTCAGCTCTTAGTTAATATTTTAGTTTTCCCAATGGCAATTACACAGTCACTGATTTAATTTACGTGAACTGAACCCCCTCAGCACCAAACCTGGGCTCCCATGGAGTGGCAACATCTCAGGACTGTCCCCTTGCTTTGTGTGTCCTTCTTTATTCACCCCAAAAGGACCCAAAGGTTCCAGTTCCAAACCAGCCCAGAACCACCAGCTCTCAGGGAAAACACCCCTGGGAAAACACCTTGTTTCTGTTCCACTTCCCAATCCTCCCAGGAATTTCCATTCCCACCTTTCGCTTCAGCCCTGAAATTCCTGGGTAGGAAAAGCAACAAACCTTTTCCCACTCAATCCCACTCAACTTCACACTGAAATTTCTGTAATTAAACAAACTCCAGCAAAATAAATTCTGGTTTTCCATCCTAACAGATGTTGAGATGGGGAGATTTTGGGGAGTTTGGTACTGGGCATCAGCCCCCTTTCCCTTCCAAGTGTCTTCCCTTTCTTTCCTAAACTCACATTCCCTGATCCCAAAGCTCCTTTATTTTATATATTTATCTATATATATTTATATATATCTATATTTATCGATATTTATATATATATATAAAATAAAGATTTATTTATGTATTTATCTATATGTCTATATTATATCTATAAATATTTATATATTTATCTATATATATCTATATATATTCTCCTCATCTTGCACCAACTTGCACACACCCCCTGCTCTGTCTCCAAGCAAGGACCTCATCTATATGGATCCCAGCAACCCTCTCTATTCCCTCCTGTTCCATTTAAAGCCAGGCCATTATAAATCAATCCCTATTTATTGTCCCCACTTGCTGAATAATCGATGGGACTCACAGGAAACATAAAAATAAGGAATGACTCAAGTCTGCTCCCACTTAAATAAGGAAACGCAAGGAAAACGTCCTTGGGTGCAACAAAGGAATGAAACACCAGGGGAAGCTGCAGAAAGAACGGATTTAAAATATCTCAGGGAGGCAGCAGATTGTTTCCAGGGAGCAGCAGATGTGTTTGCAGCACAAATTAAATGGTTGCTGGCTCGTATTACACCTGATTTTTTTTCCTCCCCCAATAGGCACATCCTGAAAATGGGCAGACAAGGGCACAGCTCCAAATTTGGCAAAATGTGCCACTGCTGAGCAAGGAGATGTTAATTCATGTTGGTAAAGATGGAGAAAAAAAAAACCACTTGGAATGAAATAGAACTGAGAATAGTTTCATTTCTGTAAGAGTAACACCTGGAAAACTTAATCCATATGCGAGGTTTGCCACAGTCCGGGGGCTGGAAAAGCCTGGGAGAAAGTGGTTGTTTTCCTGAGGGGATTTTCAGTGGATTCAAAGGGAAAACAACGTGAGCAGAGAAGTCACTCTCTGCACATCTGGCTGGAGCTCAGCTCTGAACACCTGGATCACCAGCTCCTGATCCAAGGAGTCAAGGGAGAGAGCTAATCCTGGAATCATGGAATGGGTTGGGCTGGAAGGGACCTTAAAGCCCATCCAGTGCCACCCCCTGCCATGGGCAGGGACACCTTCCACCAGCCCAGGTTGCTCCAAGCCCTGTCCAACCTGGCCTTGGACACTCCCAGGGATCCAGGGGCAGCCACAGCTTCTCTGGGCAACCTGGGCCAGGGCCTCCCCACCCTCCCAGCCAGGAATTCCTTCCCAATATCCCATCTAACCCTGCCCTCTGGCAGTGGGAAGCCATTCCCTGTGTCCTGTCCCTCCATCCCTTGTCCCCAGTCCCTCTCCAGCTCTCCTGGAGCCCCTTTAGGCCCTGGAAGGGGCTCTCAGCTCTCCCTGGATCCTTCTCTTCTCCAGGGGAACCCCCCCCAGCCCTCCCAGCCTGGCTCCAGAGCAGAGGGGCTCCAGCCCTGGAGCATCTCCGTGGAAAGTTGGGATAAGAGCAAAGAAGCACCTGGAATGTGACCCTGGGCTGTGGATCCCCATCATTTCCACTGATCATTTGATGACTTAAAGTCAAACCAGTGGCAGGTTGACTGCTAATTACACAGATTAGCTGCTGTTAATGAAAGAAATGAACTCTTTGCTAGAGGTGCCAATAACAGCCTGGTATGGGGGGAAGGAGAGAGAATTGCGGAAAATAAAGGAATATGTTCTTTTGTGGCTCCAAGATTTCCACTCCCCTCTGGGCATGGAGCCTTCCCAAGCAGGCAGGGAAGCAGGAACCTTTTTGCAGTCAGACAATTGCAACAGGTTGTCCTGATTTAGGAGGGAAATCCCTCCCATTCCCACCTCCCAGGACCATTTTAATCTCATCCCAAACGTGGCTCCAACCACCGACTCCAGCTGGGACAGGGCCACACACCAGCTCCTGTTTTACAGAGCAAATTCCTCCACTGCCTTTCTTTCCTCCTTTAATCCCATTCGAGTGTATCCAGGGTTTCTGAGGGTTTTTTAAGCCCTCCTGAATTATTTGGCTCGTGGCTGGAGCTGCAGCTCTGAGCCAGGCTCCAAGGAAAACCCAAAGCTCCCTGTCAGTGCAGTGTTCCCCTAAACCAAACAGACAAGTGTTCCTCAGCACTGCAGGGATATTTGGGGATTTTTTTCCCCTTTTTTTTTTTGTCAATCTAGGTTGGATTTATTAAAAATTCTAGTTCCTGACTCATCTCAGCACGTGGCAACAAACAGGCAGCACATCCATGGCCACATTCAAGGCTCCCAGAAATAAAGAGGTTTTTTCTTACCCACACACAAGGATAAGGGAAGGCACCAGTTTAAAATATGTGCAAGACCCCCAAAAATTTCAGATGGGCTCTTCTTCAGCACTGTTCTGTTTTTACAGGCAACTCTATTGATCAGATTTTAATTTGGAATCCAATCATTGGGTGTGCACCCTAGTTATGCTGAGAGAGATATTTAATACCCTTCACTGGGAAGAACCATTGGCTCCTCTCTCTCCTGGGATATCCACTGAGGAATCCAATTAATCAGGTCCCAGGGGAGGAGTGGGAAGATGAGTCTGTGCTGAAGGATAACAGCTTCAGAGACCTAATTACTAACATGCAACTTGCTTTGTTCTCAAGCAGAATTATGCAGAGATCTCCCCTTTTATTTTGATTAATAAATGAAGGGAAAAGAGTAAAAAAGCAGATTAAAAATATTGGGAACAATTTCTGATCTTTAGGAATGACCTATTTAAAAAAAAATCTACTATTTCCTGTGCATTTTTGTGAAGAGTTTTCAGTTAAAATGATAATTTTGTTTTCGAAATCTTTTCTCCTCCCTTTGCTTCTTAATCCTGGGCAACATCATTATCTCATTTTATCTCTCAATTAATACAGCATATTAATAAATACCTTCAAAAGAGAGCAGAAAATACCAGGACCACCTATACCAGGAAATTTTGAATTCCACAAAGCTTGTCCTGCCAACACCACTTTTATTGACCTGATTTCACCCTTTTCTTTCAATGAAATCATGTCCAGGGGTTCTCTGCTGGAATTTTGTACCAAAACCTTGGGCAAACATGGGAATGTGTGACTGTAAAGATGAGAGGGCACGTTCAGAAGCACCAAATTTCAGCTGATTTGGGCTCGTTTCAGAAGGGAATGCTGGTTTTTCTTCACAGAAAGAGCAGGCCCCTGCCCCAAGTCCCTCTCCAGCTCTATATTTAATGTATATCTAAGGTATAGACACATAAATACCTTTTTTACACCACTTACAGGGAACTTAAGATGTGCAGAGTTATTTTTATGGTGCTTTAATTTTTTTTTCCCTTCCTAAGGGTTTTCCAGGACGGATCCAAAATGTTTTCTGAGCAGCCACAGGACATGTGGGATAACAGGAGCACAAACCCAGAGTGATTCCCAGCTTGGAATTAAAGCCTGGCACTTGAGCACTGACTGAGATGTCCTGAACCCCTGGAAAAATCCAAGCCCCAAAACAGCTTGTGGAAAAAAAGCAGGAGTGCAGCTGGAATGAGCTGAGCTGCAATAGAGGAGATGAAATTAAAAACTCCCACAGGTATTATTTACTTCTTGGTGACACTGAAAATTTAAACTGACTCTGCTGTGGCAGAATTTCAACTGGAAGGAGCTTTAAAGATGGAAAAACGGGGAAATTCTCCCAGAGCACACAATAAAACAGCAACAATCAGCTCCATGGCTGCTCTCCACCACCTGCAGGGAAGGGAATTCCTGAAGGGAATTCCTGGCACTGAGGACTGAGCTCCAAAAAGCTCCTGCTTTCCATGACCCAGAGCATCTCTGCTGCCTCTCCCACTGACATCCTGCCCAGGGACCTTCAGGGATTTTAGGGATAACCTGGTCAAATTCTGGGTTCAGAGACCTTCCCTGCTTGGCTGCAAATGAACATTATGGGAATAATGTTCCAAAAAAACCCTGTGAACTGCAGGAGAGGAGGGGCCTTAAGGTGTTTTTCCTTGGGAACAGAACACAGAGGGTTTGACACGGAGGGGCTGGAGCATGTGCAGGGAAGGGTCTGGAGCAGCAGGAGGGGCTGAGGGAGCTGGGGGGGCTCAGCCTGGAGAAAAGGGGGCTCAGGGGGGACCTTCTGGCTCTGCAACCCCCTGACAGGAGGGGGGAGCCGGGGGGGTCGGGCTCTGCTCCCAAGGAACAAGGGGCAGGAGGAGAGGGAACAGCCTCAGGCTGTGCCAGGGGAGGGTCAGGTGGGATATTGGGAGAATTCCTCATGGAAATGGTCATCAAATCCTGGAAGAGGTGGAGTCCCCATCCCTGGAGGGATTTAAAATCCATGTGGACGTGGCACTCGGGGACAGGGGTCAGTGGTGGCCTGGGCAGTGCTGGGGGATGGTTGGACTCGACGATCTAAGAGGGCTTTTCCCACCCAAACCATTCCATGACTCCACGACACATCCACACCTCCCTCACACCTCCCCTTCCCAGCTCCGCAGACCAGAACGCCGAGGGAAAAGGGCTGAGGGAACAATGCTGAGGGAATGATGCTGAGGGAATGCTGCTGAGGGAACAATGCTGAGGGAATGATGCTGAGGGAATGCTGCTGAGGGAACAATGCTGAGGGAATGATGCAGAGGGAATGCTGCTCAGGGAACAATGCAGAGGGAATGATGCAGAGGGAATGCTGCCGAGGGAACAATGCTGAGGGAATGATGCTGAGGGAACGCTGCCGAGGGAACGCTGCCCTACCCGGGGAGATGATGTAGAAGAAGTCCTTGAAGTCGTCCATCCAGACCTCGGCCAGCCTGCGGTTGTTCTTGTTGATGACGTGGCCGGTGCCCCCCGGGAAGGTGTAGGGGGTGGCCTTGCGGAACACGTGGCCCACGTGGGAGCAGGTGACGATCTCCAGGGAGCCCCCGCACTGCCAGACCTGCGGGGCAACGGCAGAGCCCCGGTCAGAGGGACCCCTGGCACGGGGGCACCCACAGCGAGGGCAGCACGGGGCCCCCACTTATCTCCCCGGGAATTTGAAGGGCAGGTTTTATGGGAACCTCGGGGGTACAGCTCTGGATGGCACCGAAATGGGGGAGGCTTTAACTGCCAGGGGGGAGCTGGTGGGAAGGGGTCACTTGGCTCTCTGACCCCACCCCACTGAGAAAGGGGTCACCCCTAAGGGGTTAGTGCACGGCATGGATTTTGTGGGATTCCATGTTTAAAGAAACAGGGAAGAACTTTTACAGATACAAAAATTTTATATATATTTATACATAGTTATATATATAATTATATATATTACATATAATTATATATACTATATATAGTTATATATAATTTTATATATTATATATAATTATATATAATATATAATATATATAATATATAATATACAATATATAAAACATATATAATTCTATATATAACAATATATATCATATATTATTATATATTATATGTAATTATATATAATTATATTTTATATATGTTTATATATTATATATAATTGTATATGATATATATAATAATATATATAATATATTATTATATATAATATATATAATTATATATATTTATATTTTATATATGTTTATATATTATATATTTCTATAATATATATTTTATATAAAATTATACATATTTATATATACTATATTTATATAGTATATATTTATATAAAATTACATATATCTATATATTATATATAATTATATATTATATATACTATATATAATTTCATTATATATTTTATATATAATATAATTATGTGCAATATATAATTATATTTTATATATTATATGTAATCATATATAATATTCATATATAATATATATTATGTTACATATATTATACATATATTACACGTATGCAATAATAATATATAATATTTGTAATATANGAAGAACTTTTACAGATACAAAAATTTTATATATATTTATACATAGTTATATATATAATTATATATATTACATATAATTATATATACTATATATATATATATATAATTTTTTATATATTATATATAATTATATATAATATATATAGTATGTTACATATATTATACATATATTACACATATGCAATAATATATAATATTTGTTATATACTATATATTACATATAAAATACATGATGTTTACCTTGTATATAATATTTATATTATATATATTATTCATACACACACATTTATATATATATATACATATATATATAAATATATATATGTATATATAATTTAATTCTTTATTACCAGGCCCCTCCTGGTGATAACCCACCAAGTTTAGGAGCCATTGGGTGGTTTGCACAGGAACACTGGTGAAGTCTTGTAATCAGAGCTCCTTGACACAGCCCTGAGTTACCACGGCAACCTAATGCAGATTTGATTTAATTAGGGCTGCCTCCTTTCCCCTAATGTCATTAGCATGAGGAGTGCCGTGGCTCTGTGGGCTCAGCAAGGACAACATCCCAGATCCCTGTTTGTAACACCCCGGGTTTGGCTGCTCGGGGACAACTCGGGCAGCTCAGGGGGGACCTCGGGCTGATGGATCCCAAACAACACACACAGCCCCCAAGGGAGCAGGGAGGAAACCCAAAATGCACACAACTGGTGTGCTCACAAAGCAACTGGGAGGAACTGGGCAGCTCAGGAAGGGGGTCACACAACTTCCCCACCAGTTCTGCTGCTCTCCCCGGCAGGAAATTCTTGCCACGCCACCATTGGTAAAAATATCTGTTCCTGGACACTTGGAAAGCCCATTTTTGGCTCTCCGGGGTGCAACCTGCTCCCTGCGACAGCTGGAACAGGAGTGGGAATGAACCTGCGCCCTCTTCTCATAAAAAAGACTTTTTTCAATATTATTTAAGAAACCCGAACAAATCAACCTTCCTGGATGCTCCCATGTAAACGGGCCTACAAGGGCTGCAAATCCTTTCAATGCTGATGTTTGGGACAATGGCATTTGTTTGGGATAATGTCACTGCTGCTG